AAAAAAAACACTGCAGCACAAAGATGATTGAAAAGAATAGACTTTGTTTCTTTCACATATGCACACACAAAGAATAATCTCCCTGAACCTGTTAATCTTCCAACAGAAAGCTTGTTGGCTCACTTCTCGCAGCATATCCAAACTTGGATGTCCTATACTTCCTATGAACTCCAGTCAATTTTCCTGTCCCTGCTTTCTGATGGAACCCCACCATCAGCCTTGAGCACTCTCTCTAACAAGAAGAAATAGCGTCACAAAAACAAAGCAATTTCTATTGAGAGAAGAAAAATTCATCTTTAACTATACTTACACAAGTTGTTCCTGTGAATACTCAGTGTGTCATTCACTGGTTTTGCTCCATTCTTTCAAGCCCTTAATGGTGCATTGAGCAGTGAACACAGCAGCAGCAGCCAGTAATGAAGGTTTATACTTCACCATTACACTTTCCAAAAGACAGAGCTCCATCAGGAAGAACGACAGCAGCTCCAGCTATACAGTTTTTAAAGAAGAAAAAGGACATAGAAAATGTAAGCTCTGTTTGTTTGTTTGTTGTCGTTTTTATGTTAGATTGATTAGTTTTGCTGCTTCTTACCTCTTCGTCAGATTGAGCAGCTTTGAGAAACCTCTTCATGAAGACATAGGGTGTCGGAACAGACAGCTTGAACTGTAAGGTGTTCAACATCAACGTCTCCTGCAAAAACCATTTGACAGACAATGAATCTCCAACAGACATCACATCATCCTCGTACCAAGACTTCATAGTTGAAGTAGAAAGAAAACCAACCATGTTTAGAATTTCTTTTACTTCGAAGGCCTTCTCAGATATCTGAATAAAATCTTCCATACCAGGAAAGCAAACCTCCTCTAGCTGGAGATTCTTCTTCGCCACTGAATGAACGGCTAAGAATCTATCGATGAGGTTGACTGTTAGGTACAGTGTCTCTTCCAACAGCTTAAATCTATAGTGCACCTTTGAAGCAATCATTATGTTATGCTTTGTTAGTTCCTTCGTAAACTACACTAATCATAAATAAATAAAAGTAAAGCTTGAGGATTATTGGGAATAGTCCGAATTTAGTTAATTAAATAAGCTTGAGGATCATGAGTTAGGTAAGGAACATTATCTACATTGGACAATATCACAACATTATGTAGATTAGTGGGTTCGAAAAGGTAAATGTACTTGATCTTTCCCAATACTCTCCTAGGATACTAGTAAACTAACCTCAATTATTAGCCAGTGAATGAGAAACCCTCTCGTCCTGTCGTTAATATGTAGTTGTTGGGCCATGTAATTTGGTGGAATAGAGACAGAAACCTGCGAGGAGGAGGAACATCTTGATCAGAAACAAAAAGCGAACATGGATTTATGTTTCAGACACAACGTGTCTTGTCTGGAAGATTGTTACCTCGGCTGCCTTGTAGTATGTATACAGGTCATCGATGTACTCCACAACACAAAGTGGATCCTTCTTATAGAGGCTGTCAATATCTTCAATTTCCAACTTCTCCGGTGGATTATGAAATCGCGTCAATGGCAGCAAGTTCAAGTAGGGTTTAGGGTTTTAGGGTTTGGGGTTTGGGGTTTGGGGTTTGGGGTTTCGGGTTTTCGGGTTTTAGGGTTTTAGGGTTTGGGGTTTGGGGTTTCGGGGTTTCGGGTTTTCGGGTTTTCGGGTTTTCGGGTTTTAGGGTTTAGGGTTTAGGGTTTTAGGGTTTTAGGGTTTTAGGGTTTTAGGGTTTTAGGGTTTTAGGGTTTTAGGGTTTTAGGGTTTTAGGGTTTTAGGGTTTTAGGGTTTTAGGGTTTAGGGTTTAGGGTTTTAGGGTTTAGGGTTTTAGGGTTTTAGGGTTTAGGGTTTAGGGTTTTAGGGTTTAGGGTTTAGGGTTTAGGGTTTAGGGTTTAGGGTTTAGGGTTTAGGGTTTAGGGTTT